TATATCAAACACTTAGTAAAAATTTAGCAAAACTAAAGGTTTTACCGTTTTGCTAAATCCAAAATGAGTTTAGACAAGCAACCTTAATCTAGACTTAGATCTGAAAAATAAAGATGAAAATAAAATCGTTGTCGGTGTATTGTGTCAGTCAACATTCTGTGTAAAATTAACAGAAGGTGATGTAGATCTTGCAATTATTGAAGCATTTGTCAAAGATAAGAAACTTATTCAAGATTCTAATAAAATTCAGAAAAAGTGAACTAAGAAGCGAATGGCTAATCCAGATAAAATTCCCATACATTTCTCCTTAACAAATGTAAATAAAAGAATTCAAAACATGGATGTTTCCAAAATTCCTACTAGAGAGGATCTTACAGATGTGATAGTAATGTTGAGTATGAGACTAAAAGAAGTAAGTTCAAATTAATCACTATGAACCAGATCCTTCAAATATTTCAGCATGATATAAAAATGACTATTCTTGGTATTACACAGGTTATTTAAAGAATAGAGGAGAAAAGAAGGAGAATCCTGATCCTGACTATTTCTTTTCATAGAGAAGAATCCAGAACGTGTCAGGGAATTACTCACCTAGATCTGAGATGCAATTAAGGCTAAAAAGTTATGTAATCCCGTCTATACTGAAAGTAAAACACGTAATACTTGGCCATTTGACGAATTCTTAAAGCAAGAGCCTTATAGAACTATACCTGGAAAATTAAGAGATTATGGAGCTAAACATGCTTCCAGAATTCATGGTGGTAAGAAACCAACTTTCCAACATCTTAAACTGCTTTTAAGAATCACAATAAGACAAGAATCAGACCGTCTTAATACAGGCAATAATTATGCTATAGGCGATACAGAATCAGAATCAGAGACTATGGAAAAAGATGAAATATCTGAAATTATCAATATGTATAGCTATTAAATTTTGCTAGTTTTATTCTACTATGCAGTGATTATTCGATCCATTGTAGTTTAGAATAGTAATCGGCCAGTTCAGCTAATTTATTTTTTTGTTTAAAGATACAGCATATATTATTTATAATGCATACAATCATTTTTATTATACCAGAACTATTAGAACAGATTTTACATTTTTTAGCGATAGATAAATCCCTCTATCCCACTCTATATATTTTCTGATTGTAGTACAGATACAGTGTCCCTATGCCGTAAAGACGCATTGAGCTAAAGGGAAATGACTTATATCCCAGGCAATCTTTTTCAGATAATTACTGTAAAAAGGACTGCTCTCAATTAAAAAATTCATAAAATTAGTATCTGGAAAGTAGAAGCCAGTTTATTGTTCAGATATAACTCATCTTGAAATTTCCTACTACCATTCACTTCAGGATGAAAAAATTATAGGCATTGTGCAGTCATGCCCAAATATAATTCATTTGGGTTTCAAAAATAGATCATTAGAGGTAATAGCGGTATTATATTCAAAGCTGAAGAATTTCAATTTATGTAAGCTTTCATGTTCAGGAAGTAGGTGATGGAGGTTTATAGAAAATTGCATAATTATGCCATAAATTAGAATATCTAAACATTTTATACTGCATAGAGATTCTTGAACTATCGATTTGTAATATTATTCGTTCCTGTCCAAAGCCCCAACATCTTAGCCTTAGATTTTGTGAAATTAGTGATATGACTATCAAAGAAATTGCTTGTTCATGTCTTAATTTAAAATATCTCGATCTGAAAGGATGTGAAAATATTAGCAAAGAAGCCATAGATCATCTCGTTTTACTTAATCCAAATATCCATATCAAAAATTACATAACACTCCCTGATCTTATTGGAATAGTTATAAATCATCTTACATAGAATAATGTTGCTAGTAGAGAGACTTTAGCTCAGGGCCTTCAGAGCCTCTTAGATTTAAGTATGCGAGATAATTTGTAGTGGTATTCTGATCCAGGGTTGGCTAGATCAACAGTCCAGAGTAGTGATCATTAGCTCAAAAGATTTTTTTGCTGAGCCTCAGCATGTACTCCTGTGTGATAAAATAGGCTGATCATATAATAGGTTTGTGTAACATATTAATTTTTGCATATATATTCGAAAAGAAAATATACTAACCAGTACCTATATTTTTTCCCAAACAAATATGAGAAAATGGCCATTTAGGCACTTCGCATGAAAGGGAACTCTAATTACAACACAGGATCAGCTTTTAAAGTAAATATTGACGGCAAAAGTATATGTTAAGAAAGGCTGAGAACTTCGTAATTTTTGAGATCGTCAGGTGTAAGATCAACTATGTGTCTCTCTGGTAGATCTACATGTGAAAAGGTAAGAGGATTCTGTTTACATGTGTTTTCAAAGAGCTCTTGGCATCATACAACAATACTACTTATGCCTCATATCTCCTTAACTTTTTCCCAGCAAGATATAAAGCATGTAAAGATATACAATGAACTCTTGATATAATGAATTCTAGGATCTGGATATCAACTTCATTATAAGCTTATAACAATTTTTTTAAAGAATTTAATTGGCTAGTTCATTATAGTAAAGGTAATTTTAATATATTTGATTTAAAAATTCGCTATATCAAGGGTTCGCTATATCAAGGTTTGACTATATAGAAGTTCAGTCAACCTTCTCGCAAAAACTTTTCCAGAGAAAATAAGGTATGTATAAAATTTTATTAAATATAACAAAATGTTTTGAAGTATTTTTGTATCTATAAGATACAATTTTTACTATGGGTTTTACATTAGGAAATGAACGTGAGTTGGTTAATGATCAAAACAATTAGACTTAATTGTCTCTTTTCCCCCGTATCACATCTGATAAAAATATTTCAGGCCATAGTATTACTGTGCTTAAAATTACCACAAACGAAATATATGACGAGTAGTAAGGCAAAAATGAGATTTCTGGGACAGAATTCGAAATAGCGAAAATAGTACTCAGAAAAGATTTTTAACTGTTCGCGAACCCATTTTAGCTATATGAATCAATTATCAAATTCAAACCTCTAACGCATTTTGACTCAATTCTAGATGATGTTATCAAACTTGACTAGGAATTAACCTATTTGATACCAAGAATTACAATATTTGATTTAACCATTCTAGCCTAATTTTAATCCCAAATAATATTTCAAAAAAATTTTACTATTCTATTTGCCTCAGGAGGGGCCATCAAAAATCAAAGAATAAAATGACGTGATTTGAGCTGGGTCTGACATTGCAAACCCAAATTTAATAATAACTTTTATGCTATTCTACTTGCCTTTGAAGAGGCAATCGAAAATCAAAGAACAAAGAGACGCGATTTGAGTTGGGCATGATCATGCAAGCCCAAAATGTATACTATATGCTAAGTCTAACCTCGAAGAGGTTCGATTTAGCTGTTATCTAATTTGCAAATCAAAAGCTTAATGATTATGAT